GGCAATTTTTTATCGCATTTTCTTCCATACAAAGTATGTTCGACAATTTTTTTTGTTTGGAAAAAATGCGTAATACATTCAGAATAAAAATGATCAAAAAATTTTTTAGGATCTTAAAACTTGCAATTTATTCTGCTAGAATTTAGTGGGCTACAAAACTGCATACTCAAAAAAATTCGGATTAAAAAGTTGAAAATTTAGATACAATTTTGCGGATTTTTTATAATTTTTGCACAAAGTTTGAAATAAGATTTGATATGGTTTTTATTAGATAATGATTTGTACATTTATAAAAAAATAATAAATATTAAATAAATAAAAGAAAAATAGGTATAATTTGTTAAAATTTCGTGTTCCTATTTATTTTTCCACCACTGTATATGAATGTCCAATTTTGGCATTGTGCACCTATAAACTCTACGGACCTGAGCGTATCAGAAATTCCTTAAAATTTCAGCGTTCGCTAAAGATGTATCCAGCACCCTAGGTTTTGTTTTAATCTAAAAATTGTTTCTAAATAGTAGTGACAATAGTGACACGTTCAATCGTGTCATCTTAATATGTATTAGTTCTTAATTACAATATAAATAAGTAAAATGTAATTATATTAGATATCAAAATTCCAGAAAAAACTTTTGTCAAATTTGCCACAAATCTATTGACATATTGTTATTACTTAACATATAAACTAAACATACACTGAAAATTATAGCCAACTTTTGCTAACTTTATTTAATATTTGAATTTAAGAACTTAATTTTCACTATGTTCTATTAAAACCCACTAATTTTTTTAAATTATAAAGCCGTCATATTGGACCCATAAATTAAAAATTTTTGAAACCTGCTTTCAGATACCCAATCATACTACCAAAAATCCCCGAGTAACAAGTTTTCGACTAGTTCAATAAAATTAAAAAAATGTGTCCGCCATATTGGATTTTTGAAAGCTGCCAGAAGATTTGTAATCATAAGCCCCATAAGCTAGTAGATACGAACTGGTGTACAAATCCATCAACGCGTATCTGTTAAAATAGTTTTGACCCGCTAGATTCTGTATTCAGACCACTTTGCGACGCTCAGAGGTGGTTAATAAGCTGGTTGTTTAAATTAAAATTAAAAACAATAATAATGCATTTCACCTTCCCAATTTTGTTAAAAAGGAAAGTTTCAAATGAAAGTGAAATTTCCGTTTATTTTTTTTAGGATTTGTTTATAGCCATTTAGCAATTTTACGGAACATTTCGCGATTCTTCGTGTTTTACATTACGGAAATTCTTCGGGTTTTTTCTGTATTTTTCAAAACATTTCGGAATATTGGCCAGTACTAACATAAATAAATATCGATCATAAACATTGGTTTGCCTAACATTAACCCTGATCAGGAAAAATATTTCTCAGCAATGACATCACACTGGTCAGTCTGACCTAAGTATTGACAAAGCTGACAGAAACATTCATCAGTATTTACATAAATATTATTAAATAACATTGTCTTCCTATTGCCGTCTTACAATCTATGAACAATAGTCTTCGAGTAGGGTCTTATGGGCGACAGCCTGACTGTCAATATGAATGTTTATGCGTTTCGGTCAAGGCCAGTAAAATGCAGCTCCCGCTCCTCCCTACATTTTGAACCGTCAGTGTAAATATGCATCCCAACATCTGGCTGGCCTTAAGAGCATAGCCAAGATATGAAAAAAATGTATCGGAAAAACCGCTTGTGACGAGTACATAAATATTTTCAGAATGTTCTGTAATTTTGGAATTGGTTTCGAATAGTGACTAAAGGCATTGAGCTTTAGGCTAACCCCAACCTGTCCATCTACGGGCTATTGTCGTGTAAACAATTTATTTTTCAGCGGGAAATTTCGGCTTCTGTTGACCAAAAAAACACAAATTTAACAGAAATGCATCGAAGCATAATTGGCTACATTTTCAAATTGCAGACGATGTGCTAATAAAAAATATGCATTTTTATTTTGGATCACGCATCGTAACCTTTGGAATAAATTGTTTTTTGTTTTTAACTATCTTCTAATTAGAGCACATAGGCCTGCCACGTTTAGATTGACTCCTTTTATGCTCCAGAATACTATAAAGTTGTCCGATTACAATTTTAGGTACGCACCAGACACAACATACTATAAAAGCCACGAGTATCAGAATTTCAAAAAAGGAGTCCACGCCACTTTCGACTCTTCATAACGTCTTTTCTATTGCAAGCACATACTTCTAACGTATTGCCTTTGATTCTCATCTCCAAATACTACCAGTCCATTATAAAATCATATATGAGCAATCAACGAAACGTAAAAATAAAAAAAAATAATAATAATAGGAGATTCACACTTTTATTAGTGAAAATTTCCCAATTTTATTTCTGAATTATATGCATATTTGGATTGAAAATATGTAAAATGGCCCGGATTTTTTTCAATGAAGGAGCGAAAATTAAGTGTTCGAATAAAAACTGTCGAGTCATGCGAAAATTCGAACTAATTGAGAATTGCCCATATACTATTTGATTAATTTTTCTCACTCAAAGGAAAAATAAATCCCATTACACAAAATATAGCAGTTTCAGTTCATTCATTTTAAAAAAGTGAAATAACTTGCTAACATATTTTCATTAGTTTCACTAGCATAATTTTTAGTTACTTCCCCTAACTTTTTTTTAAATTAAGCACAAAATATTATAAACGTAAAAAACACAGAC